TCTGGCGCTACGTATGAAGTGCGTTAGTTCGAATCCCTTGTTTATTTTTTATATATTTATTATTTATGTACATTATATATATAATTTATTTTGAAATTTTGAATTGATTGTTTTATCCAAAACATATATGACCGATCGAGAGACAGAGAATGCAATACATATGAGAACAGTAGAATTATATATGTACGTATATACATATATAAACATGATAGTGACGTAAATTGCTTTGCGGGGCGGGTCGCTGGCTGCATGCATGGACTATGATGGGAGTAAACATGCTGACATCGCGCGCGTGTGGGGCGATGGCGACGGGGAGGGAACTCCGCTCATGTGATGTATCGAGGTTTGTCCTCGAGTCGACACATGGCAGGAGACATGCAGCTACTAACTGTGGCGCTATAGCTAGCTGGCCGACACCAACCCAGAAGTCAGTCGATGAGAAAAACACGCAGAGATGCTGCATGCAGACTGTAAGCTCGTGTGACACACTGAGGAGGGAGGGGAGGGGAAGAGAGGGGAGGAGGGGAGAGGGGAACAGGGAATGAGGGAGGGGAGGAGAGGGAAGGAGAGAGGGGAGGGGAAGAAAGGGAAAGAGGGAGGTGAGGAGAAGGAAAGAGAGAAAAGGAAGAAAGGGGAAGAGAGGGAAGGAGGGAGGGAAAGAGAGGGAAGGAGGGAAGAGAGCGGGAGAGAGGGAAGGAGAAAGAGGAAGGGAAGAGAGGGAAGGAGGGAGGGGAGAGATGGAAGGAGGGAAGGGAGCGGGAGAGAGGGAAGGAGAGAGGGGAAGGAAAGAAAGGGAAGGAGGGAGGGGAGAGAGGGAGGGAAGGAGGGGAGCGGGAGAGAGGGAAGGAGAAAGAGGGGGAAGAGAGGGAAGGAGGGGGAGGGGTAAAGGAGAAAAAGAGCGTCTCTACATGGTCCAGCCGATGTCTGAGAGAGATGCTGAGAAACCCGCTGCTCCGTCTGGTTCCTAGTTTGTTCTCGAATAAAACGTACTTTTATGAATTTAAATTATTGGTATTTAGCTAGGGATGCGATGGGGCAGGGGGTTTGAGGGGAAACTCCGGCACTGTACGTCTGGTATCATGCACGTGGTGACGGCTCTAGCGGCAGGCGGGTCAGCTATGAAACAGATACAAAGCAAATTCTTTGCGTGCTAACGCCGACAGCATGGCAAATGCTTTGACGTACGCAAAATTTTCCGCAGTCTTTCCCTGTCCGCGGCCGATGTCAATATATTATGTACAAATATAAACTCTACCCGTGCAACAGCCGTGCATGGTCTGTACACGTTATTATGCCATCCGCCAAAATGTAATTTTTACGCTTATTTTCTGCCTCTTACCAAAACTATGTGTTTCGCCATATATATATGATTGTTAGGAGCCAAAAACTACACACACATGCACACGCGTGCGATTTTACGCACACGCACAAACACGCGCGCGCACGCACACACACACGCACACGCACACACACACGCACACACACACGCGCGCGCACGCACACACGCACACGCACCCACACATGCACACACACACGCGCGCGCGCGCGCGCGCGCACACACACACAATTACAAAAGCATCTACATAGGATCGCGCTCATGTTTTGTGTATATGTGTGTGATTGCGTGCGTGCGTGTGTCGGCGTGCGTGTGTGCGTGTGTGTGTGTGTGTGTGTGTGTGTGTGTGTGCGCGCGCGTGTGTGTGTGCGTGTGTGTGTGCGTGTGCGTGTGTGTGTGCGTGCGCGCGCGTGTTTGTGCGTGTGCGTAAAATCGCACGCGTGTG